AATTTTTGTTAATAAGGAATAGATATATTAACTGCCATCAATTAATGCTAACTCAGTCAATTAGAATACCAATCTAAATTTTTGAAAGCAATTATGCACAGATAGATTAGATGATGTGTATTTAACAAAGTAGTTGTCTGTATATTATCTAGAAATTATTATTTAATAATTCTCATACAAGCTAGATCTATCTAAATAACAATTAGAGACAAAAATTACTTAATGTCCATCTCAATTTCTTCTGATTTTGAACTATTTGAGTCTGCCCATTCATTTTCGTCATTAATACTATAATCTAATTCATTTATCCCTATGGAATCATTTTCATGCAACTTTTTATTATAACCACACCCACCACACAATTCACACGTAATTGTCGAACCACAGACCTTATTTTCGCATTTGGCATGCCACCTATGGTTATGACCCTTATCACCACATTCGCCACATGTATTAGTGCCAAGACCACGTGTCAATTTAGGTCGTTTCCCTTGAACTTTTGACGTTTGATTCTCCAATGATGATTGATAACATGCCACCTTCGGTGGTCAACCTCTTCTAACCTTTTTTATAGGATTGGAAACTTTAACTTGTGGTTTCCCAAGAATGGTATTAGGTTCGGAACGTTCCTCCAGTATACTTGTCCTAGAACTAGAGGAGCATACAATGGTTGTGTTCTCAACAAGAGAATGTTCATTTTGAAGAATATATCCTTTCAAAAACTTAAGAACTTGTGGGTCATTTTTTTCAATAGCAATATTAATTGCTTTATGCGCAATTCCAATAGTCTCTGCATAAACTTTTTTCTTCCGCATTGAATTTTTAGAAGCGGTATACGATGAAGATTGAGCGTCATTAGACACCGCACATGATCCTGAAAATAAATTTGATGATTCATTTGATAGTTGTTGGAACTGATAATGTCACAGATGATTCAGATGAAAAAACCATAGATAAATTAACGAGTGGCTGTATACCAAGATCCTTATCTTGATATTTTTCAAGAAGCCAATGCTTTGCTACAAAATTAATAGAAAACTTTGCGGCAATAGAATACGCTATCACTCGAAAAAATGTCTGCAGGGATATCCACGAGTGATTAATAACATGCAGCTACATATGAATAAACCATCCTTAAGCAAAAATACGTGCAATTGAGAATGTTACCAGGTCATGTATCTTACTTCCCAAACTTCAGCTACATTGTTTTCAACTTGCTTGAAAAGCACAAAAGAGTGGGCCAAGGGATAATCGAATGCATTGTCAATGAACGCTGTACCATCATCTTGCGTCTATAGCGAAGTATGAAAAAAAATAATATGTAGAAAATTAATAACTAATAGTTATCCAACAACCTTGTTTTACTAATAGCCAGCTTA